ATAATAATAATAATAATAATAATAATAATAATAATAATAATAATAATTGTAATAATATCTAAATAGGCAATAAAATATCACAGACAATACTATTAAATTAAATAAATACTAATAAAAAAAATATAATAATTATAATAAAAACAATCGCGACAAACATGCAGTATGATTAATACTGTTTACAGCAGTATAATCTTAATATATAAATAAATATAAGTGAGGAAGAAGATAAGAGGTAAGAGGTCAAATATCGTAACGATTAGATATTATATGATAATAATATAAATTATAATAATCATAATGTAATAATAACTACAATGACTTTAACAAACTAGACACGTGTCGTTACTGTACGATAGATTGCCAGGAAAACAATTCGATAAACATTTATACAACGTGTAAATAACAGTCCGAGTACGCAGAGGTACCAAATAAATAAATAAATAAATAAAAACCGTTAACACTAAAAAATAATTAGTCTACCAAAAGAAATAGTTGATAATATTATAATAGTTTATACGCGCGCGATGCGTAGAAAAAAACAAATACATACCATACGTACACGTACGACGCGAGTCACATCCAATTCAGGGAAATATATAATTCAATAATGTCTTATAACTATAAACGTGAGATATAAACGAACGAGAAATGACTTGTGGGTATAATAATAAAACATTGCGGATGGCACCACTCAGTGGAAAAATACGTTTGCGGACGATAAGTAGGATACAGAGTCGTGATGGTAGATATCCGACGAAAATCATGATAATAATCGATTTTAAATGCAATATTATGTTAATAATAACATCAACGATAATAATGATGATAACGATAATAACGTAATTGTAAATGCTTAAATCTATGTATACGTGCGCAGTGGCGTCTATGTCATCGTCTACGATATTATGATAATATTATGTATAGAACACAATGACGTGCGAAAAAAGCAACGGATAAGTTGATACACGCAATATGTAGAAAATACGTATACGTAAGTATAGAGTACGGTGATGATGTCCGACACAGCGGTGGCGAGATAGACGTGCGCGTCTATTATCTCCTCGACTTGAGATGTACGAATACTTCGATCACATATTGTAGACTGGTGATGTACTCGCGCAAGATCAGCCAATCTCTCAACGACCTGTTGTCCCGTGAGACCCTCAACCTCATCGGCATAATATTTCTGGACACGCGTGGTTCGGTCTCATTCATCTCGGAAATGGCCATCGACATTTCGCACAAAATCTGAGGAAAGAAAAAAGGAAAAAAACCTTCAGTACATCGTGTCACAATTGTTATGAAATTATAATATACAAGTTATATTAACAATGTTATTTGTAACGCGCACGCAGCATATTATACGCACACTAAGTGTACGTAAATTATTATTATTTCGGTATGTTATTCCGACTGGATTGACGTACAATTTTATGCGTACGTTTGCGAGAAATAAATATTATATATAGAAACATCATTTTTATTTTTTTTATTTCATAATTTCATCAATATCATATAAACGTATAGTAAGTAGCATTGCGTGGGCATGCCTTCCAGGCTCACGGTTCATCCTGCCGCCTCTGCAGATGTGTATGTTTACTCCAAAACGTACTAATATTATATTATACGAGTATATAGTGTTCCAAAGTCCGACGGTTCCCTAAGCGCATTATTTCATATTTGCCTTTGGGTTCTAACTAAGCGTACGCAATAACAATAATAGGATGTATCTTTTTTTTTTGTTTTGTTAAAGATAACATACTACTTGTATACATGATCTGTACGAATATTATACGTGATTAGTAGTGGGCGCGTAACGATTTGTAAACCATAAGACAATAATAACAAGAGGCGATCGAAAAAATTTAACCCAAATTGATCCAAAATTAGCCACATAATAGTTTTCGTTTCCGACTTTTCTATTTTTGGCCATCTGTCGGTAATCGCCAACTAAACTTGCACCAATTCGATTATATTACAATGTGACCGGTCAAAATAATTATCGGTTATAAGACTGTGTAGTTCTATGGCTTCGATAATAACTTCAACAGATACAATAAGTGAAATAGGAATGTATTATTGTACTATAATATTAAAATATTATAATTTTATAATATAATAATATTACAAAATTATATATTAATAAAATTATATTTATACTATTAATATTATAGAAATGAATCATCAATGTAAATCTGTGACGTTGAAAATATTATATTTTCACTCGACATCATTATACACAACACATTATTATAATTGTAATTCGTGTCAGCCGATTGAAATATGTGTGTGTGTGTTTTTATACCAGCATTAGAAAACTAGATTGACTTGTTCGAAGTGGTCCATTGATTAAAAGTTTAAAATATCTACTAGAAATGGACATCGTTGTAATATATAGTGCACGCGTACATACGTTATATTGTGTTTACTATTTATATTTATAAAGTCATATGAGCCGTTTAAGTATGTATAGTATTAGCCGAATTATCCGGTCACACCCGAGAGATATTTTATTATTTTAGAAATCAAACGGTAATTTTATTAAAATTAGCATATTTTCAATAAAATAAAATATTTCCTAGGTAACCAAAAAGTGAAAAACTAGACTTCAACATTGTTTCGACCCTAAGAATGCGAATTTTGAAAAGTCCTTAACATAGTAATAAAGACAATTCCTCATAATTTCAAATGAATCAGTAGTTTTATTTTTACGATGATAAATTAGTGAGTGAGTGGTATTTAAATCATATTTATTTGTGTGTATATATATATTTATATATTATAATAACATGGAAATCGATGTATAATCATACTGTTGGTGCGCCGAAAAACATCAGGTTCTAGTAGCGCGAAATAACAAGAGAATAAATGTTTTTCGCATAAACATGCAGAAAATTAGAAGAAAAAAAATTATAATAACCAATCATTAAGAAATTAGTATGTATAACTCGTGTATATATATATATATATATATTTATAATTTTTGTATATTCGCATTTTCTGCTGCTGATCTTATAACATAGCATTAATACTCGTCTATAAAGTCACCATAAGAAATACGTTAGTAAAGCAGACCGTACATAATATCTCTATCAGGATTTGGCTGTGTTACGTTATTATTATAATTATTTTTCGTTCGCACTCGAAAAATGTGGACCATTTCAAAATAAGTACTGCATGTCTACGTGCGAGCGGTCACACGTGCGAGTAATACTATAATATTGTTATGTATATACACTTCACACAATGTTAAAAAGTGACTTTTTTTTTTCCGTCGAAACCGTTGAAGCACTCGCAATACAATCGACATGTATTATAGGACGACTAGAAACCAGTGATTACCCGAAGTTATCACGCAACGATCCAGTGACGTGCTGAAGATTTTTTTCTATTAGTAGGAAGATGTCTGTATGGTGTCATAATATTATTGTAATATATTTACAGATGTACTCACGGCTCTTAGTTGAAACGTGATGTTTTTGAAGTCTTTTGCGAACGACAGCCTTTCCCGATCCTGGTCCCAAGCCACTTGTTCCAAGCCCACTGCCAGGTTTTGCATGCCCACGTAAACGGCGGGCAGAACGTCTTTGAACGTCAGCTTATCCAGATAGGATTTTGTCAATGGCACGTTCAATTTTTTGGGCATGTACTCGGCTTGCTGCAGCCACTCGAGCGTAGTGTCTTTCCACACGTCGTGAAATTTTTTGACGTCTACGTGAAACGTTCCGACCACCTGTGCGTGAAAAAAAAATTAAATTAAATAAATAACCAAAAATCGTTACGGTCGGTATATAGGTATGTGACATCGCGGCGATAACGAGACGGGGTTTTTTTTCCTACTGACAACCGGACAGGTTTATAACAATATAATAATATATGGTATACACGCATATTATAGAAGACGGCTAATCGAAGGGTATGTTAAACGCGCAAAACTGTCGGGGATTTTTTTTCGTTCCGTCTCCATATATAAAAACGTAATGTAATATATTCTCTCTTGTTTTATTATCTTTATTATTTGCGGTCTATGCACGTATTTATACATTATAATACGAGGAGCACAAAGAATAAATACGAAAACGACGGCGACGGTGGTGACGACTGTTACGCGGTCATTATTGACCACCATTATTGGCGGTCGGTCGTGAGATTAAAGGATACAAGCGGCGAGCGGCGACGAGACCGCAGCGTGGCGATGTGACCACCAAAAGACAGGATTTGTGATGTCCATTGACTTTTCATCATTATTAATATTATATTATTATTACTTTAGTATATACAATTTTATTACACTGTATATATATGTGTGTGTGTATGTGTGTGTGTGTGTGTGTGTGTGTGTGTGTGTGTGTGTGTGTGTGCGCACGTGCATGAACATATGTTGACCTGCCGCAGTCAAAATTGCAATACAGAGGGGAAAGTTTCAGACCTATAACCCGACCGGCAAACCAATTTTTAAGGAGGGGAAAAGGACTATAGAAAAATCACAATTTTACGTGCACAGGAATCAGCTAAATAGAAACAACGACTGAGTTCTGTAATATATCCCCCAGGGGCAGGAACAATACCGGGAAAAAACCTGTTTCGGAACAGGAATCCTGACCGAATCATAGAACCTTAACCTTTAAAAACACCCAAAATAGAACTGAAACTTCGTTTGAAAAAGTTTCGTTATAAGAACGGTTTAGTATTTGTAAAATAAAATAATTCTGTACTTTCAAGTACTGAAACCTGAACCCGGAATTGAGACTTTATGTGTCTTAGAATCAAATTCGTTCCGATTCCTGCAATACTCACCATTCCCAGCATTGCATTGGGAATGTTTCAAATGCAGTGGAAGCTTGTTTTGACCTAACCTTAAAATATTTTTTTGTCAATTCGAAAAACCAAAACGTATGCGTAAGACAAATCCGTCGGTGATCAGAAACTAGATGCTGCTGTGACGAATATGCGCGTCTCAATGTTTCTCAAATATCTATACATCGTTTATTTACAACACATTACATCGTACACACACATACACACACTCACACACACATATATAGTTTTATATACGAGTAGGCACAAATAATCGTATTATACTGTACACGGCACAATACGCAAGCGCGTAGAATATTATTTTTATTATATTTGTATTTATATTATTATTATTATTAAAAGTCCCTGACTTCGTATCTCGGTCCTTACGTGTACACAATACGTGTCGGTTGTAATCGCGCCTACGACAGTGTCCGAAAAATATCGAGACCGCAATCGTTGGAAACCGCGCCGGATCGAGTGCATGTGATGAGTTGACGGTTTATAACAGTTTTATTGTTGTTTCATTTTCACGTTATATTCGTATTATTTTTTTCCGTTCGCCTGTCGTTTCGTTTTTTTACGCTCAACTTTGTTAACAAAAATATAATGCTCCTCGTGGCGGAAAGTCCTCTCCCGTATCACCGTAGTTACATGTTGTACACACCATGCTACACGGTCGTCTGTGTAGACAGTCATCGACGTAGACATAGACATAGTACGTTCGTGTGTGTACAGACAGAGCTTTCTCTGACGGTCTATCGCGTTCGTCGACGAGTTGTGATCGTACGCTGTAACAACGTAATTACCCCAGGTGCCCGAATCGAAAAATACTATGCGAGCTAGCGAGATAATTATTTTTCGATCCTTTTTATTATTTGTTTGTTTGTCGTTTTTCTTGTACGGAATTTATCGAAACAGGCACTTGATCGACGAGCCGAAAAGTATACGAACAAGTGGAATTTTTTTTGTCTTCATTTATTTTTTAACTCAATACATTGTATGTTAAACACACACTCTTTCTCTCTTCTCTCTCTCTCTCTCTCTCTCTCTCTCTCTCTTTTGGTGTTATTACAGCAGATAATGTTTACACTACGTGAAATTTATGAGTTGTCGTCGACTCGTGTTGGTATACGCGCGCGCATGTATAAATTAATTTATATATTTTTTTCGTTTAACGCGTGACCTCAAAGACAAATAATATCAAAACAATTCGATCGGTCCGTAGACCAAAACAATGTAAATCGTTTTATCGGGTAGTATTCGAAATCATCGCGTATTACACAGCTGCTGAACAACAGACCATACATCTCCACACACAAAATAATATGATACATTGTGAGCTAGAATTGAACTTACATTGTATGTATATTGTAACATACTAAGGGAGAGAAATCACTGTGATGAAATAAAAAAAAAAACAGATAATATACGAAGTATAAAGATATTGATGTTGGACGTCTATATACATTTACGCCGAGATTAATGAAAGATTTAACTTGTTTGCGAACCGTAAAAATATTATAATTTACAAAACAAAATTGTGAGCTATATATTATCATGCACCACCAAGTGTAAATTATAAGTTAAATATTTAAACTGTTTAATTTTAAATAGCAAAAAAATAAAAAATAATAATTACATAATTGTTCTCTACCTATGAGTCAATATGTATACGAGTATTTATACAAATAACGTGAATCGAAATTTGTCGATTAGACTATAATGGTCGTGTGATTTCAATTTTGTATAACAAAAGTGTAAAACGATAAACTCTCTTCGTCACCAACCGTCTCTCTCATACTTGTTGTTCATTGCATGCGATGTTTAAACAATATTCATCGGAAAAAAAAGTAGTAATAATTTAAAACTAATCGGTATAACGAGTTATTATGTCATTATCGTCTTATAACAGTAAATATTAACGTTAAACGTGTGCGTATTACCGTAATGCGAATTATATTGTTTAAAACAACACGCAAAATATAATTATATTTACGTATACATGTAATGTACGATAACCGGTGTTGACTTTTCGCGTATAATTTCCATTGACTTGCAACTATTGTGCATCGGATGATAGAAAACATTTTTTTTTTAAAAAAAATCGAAATAACACCGAAACGTTGAGGAATAAGTGTATTTTACTCGAGCAAAAATATCGCGGTCGTATCCGCGTTTAATAGAGAGAAACACACGTTTGGAGACGCAACGACGAAAGAAAAAGTTTTGCGGGCGGAGGCGGTTTCGTTTGAAATGGGAGTCATATACCCCGCCCCCGTGAAATAGATTGTGTTTATTGTCACGCGTGACGCCAATAATGTGTTTATAATGTTGCGCGCGGTTCGGTCATACGAGCCGATAAGCGGAAACCGACGACGACAGGCCAACGTTATCATGGTTTTCCAGGTAAAACGCGTTTCTCATGCCACCGCAGATCCTCCCTCCCCCCTTACGGTCCGCGAGATTTTCGTTTCCGCGTTTCGATGAATGACCGCCGTCGTCGCCGCGAGGTGTACCTCGCAATTGGTTTCGCTGAACCAGCGGCGACGGACGGTCTGCGGAGCGACCGGTATCGTATTTTTCCTACCTATCCGACTACGTGATGAGATCGGAACACTTGCGCCGTAAACAGCTGATGATGGTACGGGCAGCTATTGGTTTTTATCGCAAAAAAAATTCGAAAACGAAACGAATTTACGTGTGTAATTCGTTTGGCGTTTTTTTTTCACCACACATCGTAACGCAAAAGCGTGAAAACAGATAACCCAAAGTCCTATTACACTCGCAAACGGGTATTGTCCGATTCGCGTTATCGGCGAGCGCGGTAAGTGCGTGCGAGTAATAATATTTTATCCTTTGTTTCCCCCTCCCAGTTCGATTTACCGCCGACGAATACGACCCGAGAACATGACACGCGAGAATGAAATTACGTAAACGGCGTTTTTTCTTCTTTTCAACGCCATGTGCGTGATTGTCGTTTTACGCACGCCCACGCGAGTTTGAGAACTGCAGCGGCGACTCTGAGTGGGAAAAAAATATCATTATCGAACGTTTCGATTGTATTATTATTAACCGTTTGTAATATAATGGAACAAAATGTTAAACCACAAAATATCTCGTGCTGACTCCCAAACAATCACCCGCCTGAGTCGACCACCGATCTTACTGAAAAAAAAAACAATTAAATGAGTCATCTCAAAAATAATTGTAGTATAATTTACCCGCAAACGAAATCGTTTTTGATATTTCTTAACAAACGGGGTTTCCGACCATTGCAGAAATAATTGGTCAAATAAGACTGCAGTTTGATGCATTATTAGTCATAAGAATGATGATTATATCTCCTCATTACCCGATGATTCGTAAACAAAAAAATGAAACCGATTTATTCACGCACATAAGCGGCAGTAATAATAAACGTACTTAATATTTATACTCAAAAAAATATAAACGATAGTCACAAAAATAACAAAATATCTCGCGACAAAAGTATAACGTAAGAGCGTTATAACTTTCCGTCACACTTTGTACGTAAACATATATTTGTCATATCATAATTCGAATCCGTCGTATATTTCATTGTCGAAATACCCCCACACACGGATATGTGTTCCTGTACGAGATATAAACTATTAGGTACCAATTATTACATATCGAAAAATATAATACAACGAGAGAAGTACTAATGATTGCGTTACTATACGGAAGAATGTTTTCCTCGTTTGGGGTTATATAACATTGTTTTTTTCCGAAAGAAAAATATTGAGACGAGGAGAAAAATATGGACATATAAATATATGTATATTACGTCTTTAACGTTTTTACACACAAACGTGTGCTTAGGGGGTGAAAGATAAAATTTCTTAAATGAACTCGCAATCGTAGTGCAGGAGTATCGGACTGCGATTGACCGGACCGAACGTAACTGAATCGCGATTAAATTGTAAACTTAATATTAACTTTTAATATTTAACGGTCGAGTGATATATTATTGTTAGTGTTGCATTGTATTTAAACAGGTCGACTGAATATCGTACGCTTTCATAATAAACACCGTTTGTTTACAAAGAAAGATTTTTGAGATTTTTCTCACCTTACCTCTCTTTCTCTCTTCTTCTTCTTTCTCTTTCTTTCCGGGTAGCTATATAGCACTAAGCACTAAGCAGTTTCCATGCAATCTCAGCAGAATAAATAATAGCCAATTAAAGGGTTGGAGACATCGGGGTTGAAATATTATTGTTTTGTTCGATTATATTCGTCATAGACGTATACATAACGATGATAAAAATACTAATGGTGTGCGTAGGCTGCACCACGTACAGACCACGTACAGCTCGGTAGCGATGTTTCGTAACTTTGAGCGTCACTTTACACGACGTAGAGGAAAAACCATGAAGTAGTTAAAATCGCAGCGATCGAGATTGTAACAAATTCACATAGATCGTGTGCAAACACGTGTGATCGAATCGCGGGGGAAAAACTTGAGTTTCGCAACTAACGATGAGTGTGCTGCGCGCGCGTGCGTTATGCAGGTACGCTGCTGCAGCTGCAACGTGCGCGTCTATTGTTCGACACGTATGGATTTTCCGACGTAACAGTTCTCTCGTATAGTCCACCAACAGCACAAATAATCGTACACGCGCACACGCGCGCAGTGTTTACACGTCATAACGTACCGGTACGCATACAATAATCGTATATGTACGTGTATTCGTCAACACACGACTGGTGACGGAAACGATTTAGGTGCGAACCTAATGTATTTTTCGACGCAGCGTGTTTACACACATACGACATACCTACAACGCGCCGAGCGCATTTATCGTGTTTATCGCATGCGGACCGTGGGAACGTCAACGGTTGAGGTCATGTCTAAAGTTCAAAAAAAAATACGTCGTCCAGGACTATCTAGGTGCATCGCGATGTGTGAGTGCGCGCACAGTTTCAGAGCGGAAAAAATTAAACGAGGACAAGATCGGAACACCTAATTGCAAACCACGAAAAAACAATACAGATGATATCACACAAAAATAAAACGTTTTTAGCCGGGTACACGTGAGCGAGCCGTACCGATCGCGACAACTATTTGGGACGCCGTATCCAAAGAGTCGTTCGCGAACCGCTCGCGCCGATCCATCGAGAGTCGGGTTTTTTTTCACGAACACGACGCGAACCTTGTGTAAGTTTGTACGGCGCGTTGACAAGTTCGTTAGTTTTAAGCTATTCTCGGAATTGATTTATATTAATTTCATTCGGTATTGCTTAAATTTATAAACTATTGATTTATTAATTTATTTAAATTTTTTAAGTATCTAAATGGCTTGAATTATATCATGGGACGGTCAGAGGAAGATACTATTTTTGTTTATGGTGTGCCTTTAAGATGCTATAAAAAACGCACGGAACCCCAGAATCTTGAATACCTGTGTTAAACCACAATATGTCCAAACAACTTGCATTATGACTGATGTTATAGATGATCCGCTTTTCGATTCGTTTCTTTGTAATGCGTATATCTCTATCGTCTGACTAGCACCCCTAAATTACACTTTCACGAAGCCCTAGTTTGAGACCAGTTGCACACCCCATCGATAGAAAGGGTTGTCTCTGTGCGCGGTAACTTCAACGAACAGTTACAAAAATATACACACACCTCACACAGCAAGTATACTTGTTATCGTGAATGCAATAACTATCTACAGGTCGTAGACTTTTTTTCTTTTTGCTCCGACCGCAATCGGCATCTCCGTCTGTTTGCGTGCGGTTTTTTCACATGCACCGCGCACGATACACAATGTAGGTACAATGTAACTAGTTCCGTCTGAACGTACGGTACCGCCCCTCAAACGCTCGAGTGGCAGCGCGAGGTGGCGGCACCAGTGCTGACGACCGTCACTAATCGGCCAATTCTCTTCCCGCCGCCGTATTTCATTCATCTCCGTCGCCACCATCGTCAACGCGCCCTCCCCCCTCCACCATTCGTCTCTTCAGCACGGCTGTGCGCGCGCTATCCGCAGAACACACGTGCGACGCGGCTCAAACACGTTGTTGTCGTCACGTGCCACCGATGAAAATCATTCAAATATCATTGTTGTACAATGTATGTGCATCGTACGTATCACTGTAACTATATTACCCGTTGTATTATGCTGTGGAGTGACTGTTTGACTGAGTCTGTCAGAATTTTTTTTCTCAAGTCGATGGGCGGCCGACGGTGGTTTTATATACATGTTTATCGTACGGCAGAGAACGGTAATTAGCTAACGGGCGATAATTCAGTCATTCAGTCATACGATAGAAGATTGATCATAGCAATAAAATTCAGACCCGGACATGTCGCCAATTAATCTCACCACCACTGAGTGAATAAAGACTGGACACGATAAGAAGAAGAAGAAGAAGAAGAAGAAGCTGCTCATATGACAATTTTTTAAGAAAGTGACAGAACCCAGTGTTATAATGTTCATTTACAATAGCCAATGGACAGTGAGCGGGATTCGTATGTACGTTGATAAGCGGATAATGAAAAAATAAATAAATACTGGCCACTGAAAGTATTTGAGTTCGCCACGCCAATGATGTTACGCATACATCCGTTTTTAGCACGCGTATGTTTCGGGACCAAAGAAGTGGCGAATGGGAGTGAACTCGAGAGGGTTTCGTTATGTCCCGGCTCCGTTCAGTTGTAAAGAACTGAGATGCACGACGCGGGACGGACGAATAACCAAAGCACGAGTAGCGGTATTCTAAATTAGGCTTCAACACATCGTATCGCGAGCATCGCGTATAGAAAATCTCGATTATGTGCAGCGCATCAAGTTCGTCACCGCCGTGATCACCACGGCGGACAATTAGTTTCTAGTCCCACGCAGTACAACATCTTTATCGAGAAATTTCACGAATACGTATTGTATGGGTATTACGTATTATACGGGATAGCAAAAACAAAGGCGGCTTGTTAGAACCTTCTGCCGAGACCCTCCTGGCAAGAAAACATTTGCGGTAAAAATGCTTAAACCTAAAACTGGGAATTGTTAATTTCTTTTTGGCAAATTTCGGGTGAATCAATTTAAAGTTAATACGCTAGTTGATTCATACGTATATGGTTACTTTTACAATTCTAAGGTTTGTAGACGGATTCGCAAATTTAATGGGGTTCTTTTGGAGTATTTTTATGTTTGAACCGCTTCGATAAAACGTTCAAACCACCTCTGCAGGTGGCATAGGTCGAGATGAAGGGGATGGAAGTTAAATAGAAGTTGCGTGTAAAATAACAACAACGAGGTACTTACGAACGATCCGGCAAACTGTTCGGCCTGCGATAGGGCTTGTTTGGCGGACAACACGATGCCGTCGATGATGTCCTCTTCGCGCCTCATTGCCGAGTCGGATTCCATCATCATCATATCGTGGCCGACACCGCTGCCGGCGATGGTACCGCTGCCGCTACCCTCGTACGTGATCTGCATGCCGCACGGGTTGTGCCAGAACGGCGGATCGGTCAACATCAACATCTCCTGCTGCTGCTGTTCGCCATCATCATCGCCATGGTCTTGTTGGTGCTGCGAGTACTGCGATTTGATGGGAGAGGACATGGCGCACGGTACCAATATCAGTCCGATGACGAACGAACCGGCTGTACATGCGAAAACATCAATAAGAGAACGGATATATTTCAATCGCATGCGAATACTCTGTATACAGAAGAAAAAAAAAACGGCAAGAGGGAACGTTGTACGGAAAAAACGCCATCGTCTCGTGTACATATTGCACGCACGAACGACGAACAATAATAAGTAGTGTATCCTCTACTCCGCCGCCACAGCATTCGCGCCGTGTTGATTACCCGCAGACCGGTATGTACCCGGCGTGCTGGCGAACGGTTTTTTTTTTCTTCCACGTGAAGTATTTCGTCGTCCGGCACCCCCCCAATTAGTCGCCGCGTGCGCTCTAACGAACGTACCGGGGGTAACGGGAGGAGGAGGAGGGGGGGCAATGGGAAAAAGACCGCCGCCGCCATCACCGTGCCCGCCGGGCTGTCTCCGACCGGCTGACGACGTCACAACGGCAGCACCGAGCGGCGAATCTCGCTGCTCACACACGTACACACATTACTGGCTAATTATTATCGTCGTCCGGCCGGTCGGTCGTTTCCGTGTGTGGTATTGTTGTCGAGCGGGGACCACACACACGTACACGGGAGCCGCGCGCGCCGAGAGTTGGAACGCGATCGCGCGACCACGGTGACGACTTCGGGGGCCGTCGACGAGCACGCGCGCGAGCAACATAATCGCTGGAGAGGAAGGTAGTGGCAACATAATCGCGGGAGGGAGGTGGTGACGGATGAGGAGGAGGAGAAGCAGATAGTTATACCGTACGAAGAGTTGGTCGGCGCGTTTTTATTTTTTTTTCAATTCGCATCGGTTACTTTTTTCCCTTTTTTTCGTCTAGTGCCGATCGTAGTGCAGGGCCGTAGTAGCACAGTGCACGTATACACGTAACGATGGCGGCGGCGTCGACGGTTTTATGTGGTTTTCATTTTTTTTTTTTTCTCGAAAAGCTCGCCGAGCAATTAGCGAAAAATTCACGGCGAACCGGCGATCTTACAATGTTTCCCCGCCACCATCCCGTATTCATATCATTTCTGTCGCTTTGTCTTTCGCCTCTCCATCTATCCAAACCCCGTGAGCGTTAACCCGTTTGCTCGATACCCACCGCCGCCACTACTGCAGATAGGATGATATGAGAATCGGTCTTCGATATCGTTACATACACACACACGCGCGCATACGTATACATTTTTACTTCAATGCACACATAATAGCGCATTATTCGTTTTTCATATCGTTTCGTAGTACGTATTACGTACACACACATACACGTATGCGCGCATACGTTTCATTTTTGCTTGAATACACACATAAGAGCGCATTAGCCGTTTTTCATATCGACTCGCAGTACGTATTACGCACACGGCGACCACTCAAACGTACCTACTTGTATGTAACAATCATCATCTGTAGAGAGAAAAACAATGTTTACGCGTCCCCGGCGAGTAGTAGCGGCTCGTAGTAAATATTCTGGGGATACTTGAGTTATTTAACATAAACTCCATGTGACAACGAACAAGAAAAATCCTTCTGCTGGAAAATTAATTATACTTCATTTAAAATTTAGTCGATATTTTTAACTTAATTTGATGGTAAATTTTTTTATAAATTAATTCTGCAATTTTTTTCATCTGCGAATTCGTAGATGACGGTGTACAACGACTACTGACGGCGTGATAGCACAGAAATTGTTGTGAACCTAGTTTCAATAGCGTCTATAATACGCGGATTATTCTCCCCGGCCCCCACCATCCAACAAGCCAATCCGTTACACATTACGATTGAAACTGTCGAACGTCTTAAATTTATAATAATTTATATCGAAAACGCTATTACATACGAGTAATTTCTATACATTTTTAAATAGTTATTGTTTACAAGAAGCTGCTTTTTTTTAAGGGGAGGCGAAGTCTCTAAGTTTCACACGACGAGCCGCTCCTGCCGACGAGACTCTACAAATGCGTGTCTGACGCATAAATATATTATTTGACGTTATATTATTATTATTATATCGTTTTAATTTTTAGTGCTGCGTGTCGTCGACGTGCGAAATTACCCATCTTAAACACTGCGATTAAGCGATCGTATTACACCGTCACCGGCGCGAGTGTAAATATATAATTTAATGACCACCGTGAAAGTCCAAAACGAAAAAAAAACATACTTAGCTTAGAATTTTGTTTTAAGTAGCTGAGATTATATTTTGTATTATCTTGCATATTATAATACTATTGTGTTGGAGTCGAAAGTGCGTGTTCTGCTTATTTTTTATTTCATATGACATTGCAAGGTATATAGTATTTATTTAAGATTTAATACATCTAAACATTTTCTAAGGTTCTGATAAAAATTGAGAAAACCCTCGATTTCGCTTCCATTAAAATTTACAGAAAATATATCGAATAGTTCGATAGTATAATTTAACAATTTTAAAGAAGATTATGTAGAAAAGTAATTTTACTAATAAAACGCATTGATAAGGACATTTCACGTGTTTGGTTATTATCCATTAGTGTTCAACTATAATTAATAGTAATATAATATATATATATATACATATCGTACATATATTAGGTACTATTGTATAAAAATATATTCGAAAAACAATGAAATCGTATACATAAGGATATTTTTAAACACGTAAAGCCAACGCATAAAATATGCACACTTCAAAAAAATAATCGATACAATTAAAAATAATAATAAACACACTTTTTTTTTTTTATTTATCGAAAATACTGCCAATCATTAAAGTTTTTCAATAAACACGATATGAAACTATACTTCGAAAACATAATAATATTGAAATACACAGTAATATGCTGATAGTGTACATGTTCCACGAGAAAAATCATCGGTTCGTAATCAAACGCACTCGCCTATCTATTGACGAATTGCGACTGGTCCGTTGGTCCATTAAGGATTTGAACGGATGTCCATGAAGAACTCGTCTACATGTCTTTGACGGTTATACGGGCATGACCGCCAACAACGTCTGGTACACGGGCCATTACGGCCAGCAGCGGAACACGCGTAAAAAGTATACGAAATACGGGTGAAATAGCGGGAGGCAACGTTGTTGAACGCGCCAGGAGACGACTGAAACGTACCGCGCATGATACAGAAGTGCATTATCATTTGGCGGGTAATCGAAATCGACGATTGATAACGGAAACGTTTTCGATCGAACTCCATTTACTCTGTTTACAAACACTGCGCTTGTACCGTTATCACCGGCCGCGCGATTTGTTTTCATTTTCTCCAACAAGATATTGTGCGCCCACGCGCGTCTCCTCGCACGTGCGTTGCGCGAGAACGTTCTCCGCGCGAGCAACGCGCACCACTAAGTGCCGGTAACCGAATCCTATTACGTCGAACGGAAAGCACTCGGCGGGACATTCAAATCTTATCGACAAGCGGAGTGCGTATATTAGTGCAGCGGTTCCCAAACGTTTGTAATCACGGACCCCTTAAAAAATAGTTTGTGTTTCGCGGAACCCTAATATCTTTAATTCCAATTCAACTCTAATTTTTCTAGATCAAAAAAAATAAGGGGAAATCAATACTTAAAAAAATGTTTTTAATGATTACTCTGTATTAAAATTAGTTTAAACACAATTTTTTTTAAAATAATATAAAAAAATATTTTTTCCAAGTATAAAATAAGTTTCTCAATAATCACATAAATCTGGCGGAACTCTAAGGTTCCGTGGAACACACTTAGGGAAACTCTATTAGTGTGTATGCGCGTACTACGATTTCGAGCGTAACGATCGATTACTGGTGCGTTTCGAAAATTCTCGGGCGCATTATGTTTGTCCCGGATCCGGTGCACACGAGATTGCACGCGTGCGTCATTGCGCGGATGATTCGCGGTGATGAAATGTTTCGGTTGATCCGCGCGCATCAAACTCTACGAACGTTTTTTCGTCCGTGGCACAACGTGCGTACGTGCCGCGCAACGCGCACGTACGGCGGTCGTCGGTCGACAAAAATGGAAAGTTTTTAAATAAACCTTCGTGGAGACGAAAACATCTGCGAAGTTACGACGAAAAAACATTTCGCGTTTGCGTCACGGTCACCCCTACGTGAATGCGCGCCGAATGCAGTACATTTTCGAACCGTTCAGGACCGATCCTGCGTGTAAAATGCAACCGATGTCATTGCACGACTCGCACGCTGTCGACGACGACGCGCGACTGCAGACAAAACAATACACAATATATTAAAATATACGCGGCAGATGATAACGAAAATGCTAACGCAGATATCGGTTAGGAGTTTTTTTTTCCGTTTCGATTTTTCGTTTTAATTCCATCGCTTTCGACAATAATAAAATAATATCGGTACACGTAGTAGCTCGGTTTACCTTACTACGTATGACGGACCTCGGGTTCGAAAGGGACCGTAATCGGACACGTAATGATGTATCCGCACCTATTGACTCCTACTCCTACTCCAAACTCCGTAGAACAACACTCACCGATGAAAAGTCGACACGAATGGCGGGCGAAATCTAGTCTTCGCGAGGCGGTTGGATTACCGCGGCGATGATGATGTTGATGCTGCGACGAATACCGTCGCCTGTCCGCGGGCGTCGTGGTGAACGACGGGACCCGAATCGAGGGCATTTGTTGCCTGCAGTGTTCCCGATAACAGTCAACGCATCCTGCTCCTCTATACGACTCCATTGGGTACGGAACGGCGTGAAATGGATCACAGCGAAAAACAACCATCCGAAATCGCGTCGCGAGAGAAAAATAAATAAAGTACACGCACTCGGGCTAGAAACCTTTGACGTCTCCGTAGTGTATTTGTTTGCGTTTTAAGCGTACGTGCACCGACGATTATTTTATAATATTATAATCACACGCGCACCAAGAGAGACGTTATACCGGCGAGTGTTCGCGGTGCGGTATCGATATATATCGATTTAAACAGAAAGTAAAAAAAAAAACAAACAAAAAAAAACCCGCAAGCAATTATAAAGAGATAAAAACAACAGTAATATTAATAATAATAATAATAGTATACTAAAACACGGACGAACAAATTTTTTTTCGATTTAACATACGCGCGATACGGAGTAAACAATGAAAATGTAAAAAATAAAATTAATAAAAACTTATCGACGAATTAATATTAATATTTTATTGGAAACGTTCGGTCGCGTTTACCATGTACGTACGTCGAGTGGCGAGCGCGGACGGACTGTAGCAATACGTAGCGCAAACGCGGGGATATATCGTCGTCGTCGTCGTCGTCGTCGTCGCCGGCGTCGGCGTTGTGATCGTGGTCGTCGTCGTCGTCGTGTTGTTGTTGTTATTATTATTGTTGTTGTTATATTATATACGAGAATGACCACCGGGATACCATCGTCGACCGAAAACGATCAACTGAGATGCCACCTGACTCCGGTGGACATTTAAGTCTGGACGATGGACCGAGTGGCGGCGGCGACGTTAACGGTGGCGGTCGTAAGGGCGGCCCGCCGGGCCCCCCACCCGCGCGGCCGTGGGTTTTCCACCCGGTCACCGGTTGACCAATGGCGACCTGTTGAATGGTCGGGAGGACCGGCCCAAGGCGACGGGGGTTCATTCTTCACGGACGCGCGCGCTCGCGCGCACGCACGCACCGGAACGCGAATCGCCACGCTCCCCTCCGCGGCCGTAGGTAACGCGGACGACGGCGACACGGCCGTGGAACACGCGGTGACGTCAACGAACGATGACATACTGGTACGTCGTCGCCGCGGCAGTATTGCCGTCGCTCCGACGCCGCTGCGGGGGTATTCCCCGTTCGTACCACCACCAACGCGACCTCCCCGCAGCCTTCACCATCGTCATCGCCGCCGCCGCCGCCGCCGACGATGTATCACCCTGCTGCCCGTCATTATCGCGCACCGTCAACCGTACGCGGCGATCAACGTGACCATTACGCGCACGTACGTAACTGCGCGCCACCGCGTGGGTCCGTATGCCGAAGAACCGCCAACGGTCGCCCGTTCCGAAATCGATACTCGCCCGCGGTCCGTACACGAGCTCGTCGCAGCGCAGCGAAATATTTGGATCGCAACGGTTGTTATCTGTTCCGTCTGCCTGCATAACTGTTTTATATTTTAAACGGTCGTGTGACGTGTGTTTCGCCGACTCGATGATTTGTACGTTACGGGTGCGGGTGGTAGTGCCGAACTCGTCGGGAGCGCACGAACCGTTCGTTTTCGAACATGTTTCGTCGCGCACAACCAGGTCACCGGGTGGTTTTTGAAACGGAGGCAAAGTCTATTGATACGGGACTGGCAACGGCGAAGCGGGATTCAAGTTTCGCTTTCGTTTGCTACACCAAAGTCCGAACCCCGTCTTCCGAATATTTGTCACCTACGATGACCCCATCGTCGATGTTTTTTCGTGCATTAACTGTTATCGATTTTTACCGATGCGATTATCGCCAACCTATGCAATACAATAGGATGACCCTCTTTTGAAATTTACCGTACTTGAACGTTTTGGGTGCTTGCAGAATTTTCATTTCTACCGTTGAATCATATCGATTTAATGATAAAACTGAGTGTTGCCAATTAAATAAAATCAATTAACACGTATATTAGTTAACTAAGAATAAGTGTCTAATAATTTCACAATCAGGTTAACCGGAGGCGATTAACACGCGACGTGACGCGTGCGCTACAAGTGTGATTTGTGCGAAACGAGCTATCGCGGGTACGCACACAAAACGATTGTCGCGTGTTTAATATCAAATCGTACACTGATGGTTGTGCAGTTTTTTCGGTAGCTTTTTTTTTTTTAAACGTCGAATTCATCTTCGAGTGACGAACAAGCGATTGTTACGTAATATTTCTACAAATGGTTGGTTAGTAAAGAAAATCAATAACGGGGTGGAAAAAGCAAGTTTTCGTTCCAAAGGAATTATCACTGTCGACTTCTGGAAACTAGTGTAGCTTTAGTGGCATTCTACAAAATGTTTGTAGGAATCGTGTGCAAAGAAATTGTAGACGTTTTATCTCCTGCCATTCGTCGGAAGAATATTAATTCGAGTGTAAGCGTGAATGCAGAAGAACGAATTACACCAACAAATTTAAATATTTAAATATATAATTTGTTTTATATATATATTTGTTAAAATAATGTATATTATGTACGTGTACCAGGACTGCCGGTCCCACGTGTCGTTCGTTGTTCGCGTCACAGTCAAATCGTGTTGTCCGTGGATCCTAATTCACTTTGCTAAGGAATCATGTCGCGTGTCAGTCACCTCATGTGCGAAGGGACTTAGGCTCCGTCGTGTTCTGGATGTATAGCAAGGTAAATACGAATTGCGCAATAAAATGTCAGTCACTTGAAATTTGAGAAACTATGATTGTCAACATTTAAACGTATTCTCAATCAAACACCTGATCAAAGTCGTGAAATCAGGTACATTTATAACCCTATTCATTTTTCACGACGCTATTATATTTGTGAAAATAAAAATTAAGAATAAACAAACAAAAAGAGCGAACGTGTATGGAAAATAATAAATATTGCGTATCGTATATTATAATATTATACATTTTTCCATAGTATTAAATTATTTTTGAATACGTTTTTATTGGAATTTAAAGAGATTTAACGTCTAACAACTCTTAATTTTACAATAAATTTGAATAAAAATAATGATAAAAATACGACGGCTATTCGTAAATTCAATTAATTTCCTGTTGAAAATTATACAATCACATTTTAAATTTAAATTTTACGATTATATGAGATAAATGTTTGTTGAAAGTATTTCACCCAATTTTTGTACAGTAAACTTATTACTATTTGTCGATTTTTATCGATTTTATAACTAGTGTTGTGAGGCAATGATCGATATAAATTAACACGTGTGTTTCGTGATCAGATTATTATTAAATATATACGATAAATCCAGAGTGATGGCGTATATGTTTATAATTTAAAAATATCGCCGAGACCATTTTACCGTATGTGTTGTATTATTTGTCTATTATTGTCGATTCGATAACTGGTACAAGATACGATGGACGCTCGAAAATCTTTCGTTTTAAGGGGATTGCAAGCCATGAAAACTTTACGACAGATTCAATCAATTTTCAAAATCCTTTTCGCATCAATAGATCGATCCGGTACGTTGGAAACGGAAAACGTCCGAATCCCTGAATCGCGCGTGTAATAGAAAGAGAAAGAAAATCGTGGCTCGCAATCCCCTTAATCGTAATGTAAGATTCCCCTACGAGGGTGAAAAAAAAAGGAAAAATTACGAACATATATGGTATAACAATTATTATTATATCTGTTATCTGGCACATAGCAGACGAAATTCTACGCTACTACGTAAAAGAAAAAGACCCTCGCGAAAATCTTTATTATCCACTCCACGTCTAATTACTTACACCTATACGATTCCGCCTACCGGTTGACACTTCTGGTTATCCGATGTAAAAGTATCAAAAAAAAAAAACTGATTGACGTCAGAACCGCGCGCAAACGCGTGCGCGTGTGTGTCCTTTTTTCCTTTACATGTAAAGCGCATCGCAATAACAACACGTAGCTACCCATAATTTAGATCGGGGTGAGTGGTACATGCAATGGCGTCATTCAAAAGGCACGCGTGTGACACGACGATAAGCGTAACTTTAAAGCCAACTTATGATTACATGTTTTCGCTATCGATTGTCATTATATTACATTTATAAACGTGTACGTACTTTTTTCCGGAGCAGTGGCGCACCGAGGTCCTTCTAGATTTCGAGAGGACCGTCGATGGTGTTGTGATGTGCAGCAGCGTGAACGGAAATGCAACAATAATTTCGACCGTGCGGGTTTTATACTGCGTGTATATCGCCTTAATTGGAAAACTAAAAATAAAAACAAATACGCATCAGACAATTGTTTGGACATTTGAAGTTGTTTAAAATTACTATTTATAGTTGGAAATTTCGAGATGATTGTAATTAATAAAAGTTATTTATTATTATTTTTGTTTGTACATTTTCAGTTTATAATTAGTTATAATTTAATGTTCTACAACAGGTAATTATGGCTCTGGTACAGGAGAAACTTGCGGAAAACCCGAACGAAAATTGTCCAATCCTGATTCTTGCCTATCGGATTCGTTTACCTTCTCAATATTATCCTTGGTTCAAAAATTATAATTTTTTTGTTATAGATGCAACTGAATTGTAAAATATTGAAATCCCGTCGTATTTCAATTTATACACAGTAAAGATTATAGGCTATTTAAATAATTACACAACGTAAACACACGTTTAATTACACAGTGCATTAACAGCTCAAGAAGGGTTAGTTTTTTTCGAGCTATATCTTGAAAAAAATATCAATTCTGCCATATTTCGAAGCGTGATAAACAATTTTGTATATAATTATTTACTTTATGAGGCGTAGGTACTCGATATATTTAACGTTTACAAAACAGATGAGCATGAAATTAATCGTTATTTTAACATGTATTTATACAATTTGTACTTCTACGACAAATGTATATAGAGGTCAATATTTATGGTCGATTTCGCGTGGTAGGTTTTTAAACTTGTAGTAGGAGATAAAAAATATATTCGGTGTCCGGAGTCGAAAGAAGATGCGTGTTTTCGTTTTGCGATTGAAACGGTCGCGGTGGATTTCACTAAAAAGTTAACTCTAGAAGCATTCGATACATTATTTGTCCCATTTGAATTTATGCCGCCGATTGTATTTTATTTCCAGGGTCAACCACATCCGAAAGTCGTAAAAACTCAGAGCCTACGTGTAAAAACACAAAACACATAACAAATTATAACAATAAAACAGTTTTTAGTGTACTAGTGAAGTGTGCTCTGTTGAGCTGCTCGAGCCTTGAGCATGTAGTATGTAGTTTTTTTTTTGTGTCAGATATTGAAAAAGAAAATAAGTTTGCTCCGGTATCAATGACGCGTTACGTATATTATACAATATTATTGTTGTGCAGAATTCACATTATGCGCGTAAAACACGGTTATACCACAAATATGTTACTGCAAAATATATTGTACGGTTTAAAGGTGATGTTATAATCATAAAGTTATTTTTAAAATTATTATTATTTTTTATATATTTTAGTTTTGGTAAATAACAAAAAATAGTTATGCACTAGGTAAGAAGTTAGTGCGTGAGGTGACGGTTGATGTTGGAAGTATCATTATATTTTATACCCTTCAAAACGTTGAATTTAGTATTTAATAAAAGAAAAATGGAATTTTTATATTCATTTAATGCACTGTAATAGAATACACGTAAATCGATGAATCTAGATCGTTAACTATGTATATAATTTGTACAAAGACTTGAAAACTGAGAAATTAAATATATTGGCACGTAACGCATTTCAATAGGAAACCCTACAAGCCAAGGGTTTCAACCGTTTCAATAATTGCTTATGGTTTATGCGTCTAATGACGTCGGATTTTTGGCATTTTGTGCGAAAAATAATTTAATGAATTATAATATATTTCGGTCGGTTATAAATACATTAACATTATATAATGTTTAATGTTAACATTTTAAAAAACATGTTCTATGTATTATTATTAAATGTTCCGGGTCATTATATCATTGTTATTTCTTACTTTTTTTTTTTATATCAACAATTATCATTTAGTACAAATAATTATTATCGCAATCGATTTGAAGTATATGCGATATCAGACGCTATGCATTACTTT